TCACATCGATATCGTTTTCACATCACCTGCGGCGGCAGGTTATGAAGGGCGTTATATATAATCAGACTTCGGAACCTGATGGAAGGAGGAATTGACGATATGTGTCATGTGTATTGCTTGTGGATCCTATATGAACCACTGTTTAGGAGTCGAAACTTGGAGTAAGGCTGATGATCTGCGCAGGGACCAACGAACGACACGGAAAAGGAGGGATTATTCGCATCCAAGTACCGCTCTAGCGGATTGACCGGACTTCCAAGAACATCTGGATAGGTACTACGAAGTACTCCGTAGAGAGGCGTCAACAAAGATGCCAGGGCTCACGTCATACCTTCATGGCCATCGTCACTAAGCCGGAGCCGTCCTCCGTATTCGTATCATCGTATGTCACTACATAATATGGCACGTTCCGGTGGCTTGGTCGGACACACGGAGCTGCCGTCGGCCGATCTCCGGTACTGCGTTTACAATACCACTAAGTGTATTATTTCCTGAGGGCTGAGTCAAGTTGATGCCTGGCTAACAAGGCTGCCAAAGAGAGCTTATCACGGGGTTATCACGTGATCCAGTCAGGGCACGAGGGACGCTAAGCCCGAACAAGAGGCTGCCAAGAGTGCCAGATCGAGCTCGACACGCCTAACTACTAGAAGGGCAGCTATCAAAGAAGAAAGTCGTCGACATCCATTCATCGATTTATTCCCGGGTAGTGCGTCGACAGGTTTCTTCGCCGCCCTCACTTCTTCTCAATTTCCCTGTCTCTTCCTACTAATCGTCGCAACCCCCTACATCCTCCTATCTTCCTCCCCGTTCGGGGGTCCTTGCGACCGCCATGACATCCCGTATGTGTTTGCCCTCCGTGAACCACCCCCACCCCCTTTGAGCTGGCAGCAGAATCACTAATCAATTCGTCGCCGCACATGCGGGCTCGAAACAGTCAAACAATTCATTCGGAATGTCCGATCGGCCAAGACGATTGCCGATGAACGAGCAGTGATTCAGAAAGAAAGTGCCGCTATTCGTGCGTCGTTCAGAGAAGAGAGCCATGATTCGGGAGTCCGGTCAGCATTATACACCTCACCATACACCAGCACCTTGTGATTCCCGTCGGACAACCAGCTCATGTATGATGCTTGCAGGAGAAACAATGTCGCCAAACTACTCTATCTTTTCACCCTTGGAGAACGAACACACTTTGGTCAGATTGAATGCCTGAAACTGTTGGCGTCCCATCGATTCGCCGACAAGCGGCTGGGGTACCTGGGTACCATGCTGCTCCTGGACGAGAATCAGGAAGTGCTGACATTGGTGACCAACTCATTGAAGAAGTGGGTCTTCGTCTCAACAATTGCGTGCTGCTCTGCGAAGTGTCCCGGCTGATAGGATTTCAGTGATCTCAACCATTCCAACCAGTATATTGTCGGTCTCGCGCTATGTGCCCTGGGTAACATCGCTTCTGTCGAGATGTCTCGAGATCTGTTCACCGAAGTCGAGTCCCTCCTCTCCACAGCCAATCCCTACATCCGGCGGAAGGCAGCATTATGTGCCATGCGTATCTGCCGTAAGGTGCCAGACTTGCAGGAACATTTCCTGGAGAAGGCCAAGGCGTTGTTGTCGGATCGGAACCACGGCGTGCTGTTATGCGGTTTGACCTTGGTAATAGACATGTGCGAGGCCGAGGAGGCCGAGGAAGGGCAAGAGGGCGTGATTGAGATGTTCCGGCCCTTGGTCCCCGGTCTTGTGCGGGCCTTGAAAGGACTGACGACCTCCGGTTACGCTCCCGAGCACGATGTCTCTGGGATCACGGACCCGTTCCTTCAGGTTAAGATACTGCGCTTTCTGAAAGTTCTCGGAAGAGGAGATGCGGCAACTAGCGAGTTGATCAACGACATTCTGGCCCAGGTGGCTACCAACACCGATTCTACCAAAAACGTGGGCAATGCTATTCTTTACGAGGCCGTCCTCACCATTCTTGACATTGAGGCCGACTCTGGTTTGCGGGTCTTGGGTGTCAATATTCTTGGAAAATTCCTCTCCAACAAAGATAACAACATTCGTTACGTTGCACTCAATACCCTGAATAAGGTGGTTGCGATCGAGCCCAATGCTGTTCAGAGACACCGCAACACCATCCTGGAATGTCTCCGTGACCCGGATATCAGCATCAGACGACGTGCCCTCGACCTGAGCTTCATGCTGATCAACGAGTCGAACGTGCGCGTCCTCGTCCGGGAACTGCTCGCTTTCCTAGAGGCTGCCGACAATGAGTTCAAACCATCCATGACAACCCAGATTGGTATCGCTGCTGATCGCTACGCCCCTAACAAGCGCTGGCATGTCGACACTATTCTGCGTGTCCTCAAGCTGGCCGGTGCGTACGTCAAGGAACAAATCCTGTCATCGTTTGTACGCCTGATCGCCACCACGCCGGAACTGCAGACGTACTGCGTGCAAAAGCTCTACACGTCCCTGAAAGAGGATATCTCTCAAGAAGGGTTGACGCTTGCCGCAACTTGGGTCATTGGTGAATATGGTGACAGCTTGCTCCGTGGTGGTCAATATGAGGAGGAGGAACTCGTCAAGGAGGTCAAGGAAAGCGACATTGTTGACCTCTTCAACAATATCCTCAACAGCACCTACGCCACGCAGACTGTGGTTGAGTATATCACGACGGCATCGATGAAGCTCACCGTGCGCATGACAGATCCTGCGCAGATAGAGCGTCTCCGGCGCTTTCTCAACAGCCGGACCGCCGATCTCAGCGTGGAGATTCAACAGCGCGCGGTCGAATATACCAACCTATTCGGCTACGATCAAATTCGCAGAGGTGTGCTGGAACGGATGCCACCTCCTGAGATCCGCGAGGAACAGAGGGTCTTTGGCGCTCCCAGCAAGAAGCGCCAGAGTAAGCTTCTCAAAGACAAGTCGAAGAAGCCTGCCAAGCTGGCCGAGCAGGACCTGCTCGTCGATCTCATGGGCGGCGCCGATGTTCCAGCAACGAGCGCGACTGCCAATGGATCTCAAAACACTGCAGACCTCCTTGCGGACATCCTCGGTGGAGACTCTGGCATCTCTTCGCCCGCTCCCCAGGCCGCACACGCAGCTGCCCAATCAGTCAACACGAGCGCCATCATGGACCTGTTCGGTTCATCAAACGGAGCGACTCCCTCCCCACGCCCAGCGGAGCCGGCATCCGCATCTGTGGATATACTTGGAGGACTCGGATCCGCCCCATCCCCAGCACCATCCCCGTCGGCCGCAGCGGTTCATACAGCGTACAACAAGAACGACCTCACTCTTACTTTGCAGGTGCAGCGGGGCGGTAACGGAAATGCACAGATCCAGGCCCGATTCCGCAACATCTCCGACTTTAGTCAATTCTCCAATGTCGGGTTACAAGCCGCGGTGCCCAAGAGTCAACGGCTTCAACTCAGCGCGATCAACAGATCTGAGCTTTCTGCGGGAGACGAAGGCTTGCAGATGCTAAAGATTGCAGCCGTCAGTGGTGTAAGTTTACCGGCAATTAGGACAAGTCAGCTCATAGCTAACAACTTCATCATAGGCACTCCCACCCAAGCTCCGCCTTCGTCTCCGTGTTACATACTCAAAAGACGGGTCAGAATCGGTGACGGATCAGGTCGACTGGTCCGAGCCTTGATGAGCAGCAGGATACGTTGGATCCATGTTTATAGAAGACAGGCACATCAAACATTGACGCATTAATACCTCTGAAAGGCATTGCCAAATCATTCCTCGAGCATGTTCGATTGTTGGTGGGCAAGATTGTACTCTTTTCTATTGGAACTCTGGCCTACGTTCTATTACACGCATACCCTTCCATTGTGGTTCTTTCTCTTGCCATGTGATCTACTTGATTCGTTGTAAAAGCTTCGCGCATTGCGATCCACGTTAGGAATTGACTGAATATGATGAGAAGTGTCTAGAAGATGTCTGGGAAGCGGCCCACGAGGTTTAGCGCAAATATGTATGTCAATTTACCAGATCAAGATTGTTAACATCATTCCTACTGTAGTACAAAACGTAGAATCAACAGAAACTGGGACATCAGTAAACATAAGATACAAATGGTTATGCTGAATATACACATCATTCATGAATCAATTCTGGCTGTGGGGACTAAAATACGGGATTTACCAAAATAAGAGCGTTTCCCCTAATTGCCGCAGTCTTCCATGTTGGTGGTCAGTCAGGCTCATTGAGAGATGCGGGTCAGGACGACCTCTGGTAGGCAAAGCAGGATGATTGCATATGATGTCATTGCCATTGTTATTTGCATGTTAGAATCTGGGGTAGAAGATATCCACATGCTTAATGTCGTTCTTCCTGAGGGGTAATAGAGTGCAGAATTGATGTCATGTATCTTGCGCTCAGGCACCAGCCAACCCCGATTCCCAATAGATTTCTTGTTTGACCCCATGACGAGTTTACAAAGTCTATGTGTCTCAAGGACGAGATAGTAAGATGAAGTAGGTTCACTGACCCGTGTTCAATTTCTGTCTGTCGTTGTAATAAGTGCTGTTCTGTTCCTCCCAAGGTGATTCGTTAATCGTTATCATAGATATTCATCGTTTGCTCCTAGTAGTGCCCCCCAGTTCAGTATCATATCGGCTCAAATGCATCCAAGTTCAATAGCAGTCCGTACGCCAACAATGTGATGTAATCGATGTTATGGATAGATTGGCATTCCAGTCTACCGCATGCGTGATAGTGTCATGTAAAGAGGATCTCTGACAAAATATAGGCAAGAAGGATAATGTGGGACAGAAAAATAAAGACCAAACTGGACTCTCACAACGCCAATAACGAACGGATAAGAGAGATCCATGGCGTCTAGAGTATCAGCGAAAAATGGAGCCACCTAGAATGGAGCTGTGCAAGGACTTTCGCCGCCCCCCGAAAGATTGCGAAAATGATAAGATAAAAAAAAAAAAAAAGCTGCTCCATGATGTGGTTTCTGCCGTTATCGTGCAGTCGTGCATTCATTAAGCATAGGCGGATTGGCGCCGTGGCGCCGGGGGCTGACGATATTCGTCGTAGTGCTGACGAGGATAGGCATCTCGGGTGCTGTACACGACGTGCTCCGGTCGGACTTCGCGGGCATACTTGATGTCCTTCTCCTTGGGGTGTGTGCTATACTCGACTTCGCCGAAGAGTCTTGTCGATGACTGTCTAGAAGCACTCGGACGAGTGCTCTCGTGACGAGACGACGGCTCAGGAGGGTAGGCGTAGGTAGTACTACTCCGTACCGGTTTCGGTGCGGATCGAGTCGAGGTCGAAGGGCGTTCTGCGCGTGGCGGTGAGTACGCTCTCGAGTGTCTCGACGAGCTGGTGGGCGGCGGCGGCATGACCGGTTCGACCACAACCGTGTCTTGCTCTTTGATCTTGTACCGCGTGGAGGTCTTGGTAGGGCTATCCCCTGGTGCCATTTCTGGAGTACCAGGGCTCGAATAGCCTGAATCATATCTCTCCACGCCCCTTGGCTTGACCGATGGTCGAACCATGTTCAGGAGAACTTGTTCTACCCGACTAGTAGGCTCTCGTCTCGAACGAGATTGAGACTGCGCACTCGATGCAGATCGCGAAGGTTGAAGAGACGGCCTGACGGTGCTAGAGGATACTTTGATACTCGGAGAAGTGGCAGCCGTTGGCATACTGGGTCTCTTGGTCTCGTAGCTGCGGGACTGAGACTCCAGATGTTCGTAGGATCCGTTGCGGGATGTTGAAGGGCGCACATCTTCCCGGCTCGAACGGCTTGAGCGGCCGGGACGCCGAGACGATGGCTCGGGGTCCGCAGACTCGTAGCCATGGTGGCGGACGGGGGAACGAGACGGCCGACGTCTCCGATCGCTTTCCACGGGAACAGCTTTGGAGCGAAGAATATAATCCTGCGCAGTTATGTGTAATTTCTCGTGCTTGGAGTCCCATGCATCCGAATAGTCACCATCGTCATCGTACCGTGCGCGCTCGGCGCGACGGCTTGAATCAGTCGATTTGGTCTTTCTCGAGGTTGAGTCGCGACTCCTTTTTGACTCAGAAGGGCGCTTGACTTTCACATAGATGGACGATGCACTGGAATCCGAAGCTTCGGAGTCATCTTCGGAGTCGTAGTACGGTCCCGCCCGTTCATGTTTCTCGTAAGCTTCCCGCCGCCGTTCCTTGGTACGGTATTTGGCCCGACTGGTGTGGGTCGATTTAACGCTGTCGCGAGCCGTATCTTTCGGCGTGCGAAGATGATCGAGGGGAACCGACTTGGACTTCTTCTTTTCCTCGGTCGTCTTCGTTCGTGGTCGTCGCCGTTCGAACTCATCGTACTTGCGGGACATAGGGCGCGGCTCCTCGCAGTACCTATAATCTTCTTCAAAGAAGGCCGCATCGGCCGGCTTTCTCTCTTCGTAGTATCGCCCGTCGCGATACTCCCGGGAGGTACCGCTACCACGCGGGGAAGAATATGGATATGAGCCGCCAGCGGAACCTTCGCGCGCCATCATTTCGCGCCGGAGTTCGGCCAGACGAGCCTTTTGATCGTACCTGGTTCTCTTTGTCTCGTCGGAAAGAAGCTCGTAGGCCTGCTGTACCTGCTGAAACTCTTCTTGAGCTTTGCTGCGTTGAGACTCATCCTTGACCTTGTCCGGGTGGCACTTGAGAACCAGTTTCCGGTGAGCGGACTTGATCTCAGCGAGAGTCGCATCCTTCTGAACACCCAGGACAGCATATGGATCGATATCTGGTGTCGATAACATTATGTGAAGAAATCAACATTCGGTTGAAAAACATCAACAATGTGTAATGATCAGATGAAAAAATATAAGACGGAGAAGAAAAAAGAAAGATAATTGATGTACCAGAGGCGATATGGTGAGTTGATAAAGCAAAATGGGAGACACCAGGGGAGCGGTATGGAAGAGGCGAGAGGCGGTGGGAAAGCACGGGAGTGTACCTGGGCCGACCTAGGTACGGGTGGATAAGGTGGGCGGATGCGATGGGGTGACGACCGTGACGTGGGTTCTTGTGACGATCAATGGTTCATTAATCCGGCTTCCTGGCACAAGACACGGCAATTCATCTAAGAATGTCGGCGAAGACGGCAGAATGCTCACAAGAGGATCATGTAATCTGGTATGAGAGAAGTATATGCGGTGGGAAAGCGAGAGATCAGCAATAACACTGCGAGGTAAAAGAACAAGCACGGGAAATCGGCCCTGAAAAGCACGACAGCCAGAAAGACAATGATTGGAAGAGACAGAACTAATATAAAAAAGGAGCCACCTCTTGAATCAGGGGTGGATAGTTGGGTCTGGATTTCCGTAGGGTATTCTTCTCCGTCGCAGAAGAGGGTGTTTGATTTGTTGGTTAGATACTCCGTTGAAGGGGGCAAAAGTGATACTGTAGCAGTGAAGCAGTGAACCGAGGGGCAAACCAGACGAGCAGTGGACTAGCCGGTGCAAAAATGAATAATAATAATAATAATAATAATATCAAAGTCGGAGAAAAATTCAAGAAAGAGGCAAAAAAGGGACAGGCACGAGAAAAAAGTTTGAATTGGACGGGGTGAGGGCCAACGCTGAAAACCACAGGAAGAGTATGGACTGCGCCACGCTTGGTTGTCGACGTCGGTGAAGTGGCACCACTCTTAGTCAGAATTGTAGGTGAACAGCTCAAGGATGAATAAGATGAGTAATAATGAGAGTACTCTTAGTTGTGACGATGATGACGATGGAATTGTTGTCGTTGTTGATATGTCAAGAAGAAGTGAGGTGGAAGACGCTCGATGATGCCGTGGAGGATCAAATGAAATTCAATCGGGACGCTTCCTCTGCAGGTTGGGTTGGAATGGGATACGAGACTGGTGAAATGATTTGAGAATGACAATGCGATGATGGTGTTGATGTTGGCACTTTGGAAGTTGCAGCGCTGTTGGTAAGAATTATGTAGTAGTGAAAAGCCCACGCATAAAAGAGTGAGCGTGTCCCTGGGGCGTCGCTTTCTAAGTATCCAGCTGATTCTCTTCTTTTGCTGTTCTGGTTGCCAGGGAAGGGATGATCTTGATTCGAATTAGCGGTCAAAAGGTGGGCGGAGTAGCTGGCAAGTGGATAGATCGATTAATTGGTAGATAATTAGTATCGAAGACGAGGAGAAGTAGAGGACGAAGTGAAACCACGTTCAGGGACCCGCTTGGTGTCGCTCAGAGTTGGGCTGTTGGAGACTCCAAAGAAGTGGAGGAGGATACTTGATAGATAGTGGTAATGATAATGACAATCAACGCAGACAATTGGAGAAGGTTTTTGACAATTCTTAGAATGAAGTGATTTATAACTAGCCTAGAAGAGAATCACCTATGTTGGATATCAGAAAAGAATCAATTGACTAGAGTGAGGTTGCTAGAGATCCTAAGAAGGATGCTCCAGGTACCAGTCCTGGTGAATGGAAATCAGGAACCGATGTGATACAAATACTCGGCCATGAATCAGGCTGGAAAGAATGATGAATGATTGACGATGCGGTGCGCTAACAGGGACTCAGCAACAGCCCTGTGCTTGCTTGCTACACTACATGATTGTTGGAGATGCTCATCTTAGGGAGTATCACTATCACCCCGTGAGCAGCAAGCAGTAGTAAGTATATTTGACGAAGAGCATACTGTTTATGCCAATAAGAGCAGCAGTGAGCCTTCTACTCGCCCTATTTTGCCCTCGCCTAGTATTGAATAAACTCAGTTCCTCGTTCCAGTTTTTAGGGGGGGCAGGTCTGCAGGACAACAGAAAATGGGAATACCTCCGCTTTGGTTTGAGAACCCACTTAATCCTGATGATCCTTCGGTGTACAGTACTGACAATTTTTTGGCAGATGAGCAGCCAGCCAGCAGCAGTGCAACCGTCATCAGCCAAGGCTTGCGGGGCAATTTCAGAGTACCCCTCCATGCTCCATCATGACTGGATGGTGTGCTATCTGAACGTGAACTAATCAGCTTCTAGGGGACAACACCTCCAAGATGCAGTCTGACCACCGCTATCCTCTCAGAGGACTCCGTTGCAGCCATGTCCTGCAAAGGGAACGATGAACAGAAAACCCCGCACTAGTATTTTGGCGCCGGCTGTGACTGACTGGCTGCAACACTGGCCACACTTCGTATGTCCTCGACTTTTGCCCGATGATCTCTCCTCCTTATAGGTTGACAGAGTTCCATCACCTTCGCCTTTGCCGGGGTCGACTTACAGATCCAATCATACCGCCGAGATGCCCTGTTTTTTAATGGTCCGCCTCTCTGCATCTTGCCTCACCCCATTGCAGGTGGTTGCTGCCCCTCGCGGTCTAGAATTGGCTGACCACCTGGTCCCCCTCGGCTCTCGTCCCACAATACGGAGGACAGAGACAGGTTCGTCATTCCCCTTGATTTTCCTTTTTAGGAGCTTCTGTAATCTCGCGCCTTATTCGCTAAGCAGGAGTAGTGGAGCATCAGAGATCACATCGGTCATGTGCGGAGTTAGTTTTACATGCGACCTTTTATTCAGGAACACCGAATTATTGTTGGCTGATGTTTCCAACGAATCCACGGCTACAACCTCATCGATCCGATCCTCGCTCGCGTGAAAATGGTCCCGTGGGTGGCTCCCGGCCGGTTCCGTGACACTTCCGCCGAAGGCACAGTACCTGAGTCCTGGGATGTGCATGCAAACGGTGTCTTTTTCTCATGGTTTGGACAACTGGATGGTCCTTGAATGAGCAGCTAATTTTAGAATCGGCTTCATCACATTCATAGCATTAGGCTTCCATTCGCTTTGGCTACCCATTGAGGCGAACAGGGCGAAAGGAAGGACGGACAAACATCCTTTGATGTGGCTGACTCTTCCAAAAGCTCGAACCACAGCGTAATCTGACAGGACCGGGGCCTGATGATGGCTGCCACCCTACTTTGCGAGCTGGCCTATCCCATCCCTATCGAGACGTATGTCATCCCCAGAGCTTTGAGCGCTGTCGAAACATGAAGTGGACGCTTCTGGAAGCATAATTGGTTCCTGGGAAAGTCATCTGCACAGGAGGTCCGGTCCAGAAACGAGCCAACCATCGGCACGCTCTGCCATGCAGTGATGATTGCCCCAGCATTAGCCTGCATGGCTAATGCTTCACCTTCCCTGGTCAAGCATACCCAGTCACAGGCTCAGGCGCCCATCCACCGGTGAGTGAGCATAATGGCAATGTCACATTTTCCGGTGTGTGATGTATCTTATCCACCAAGTGACCGACAGCAACGATGCGAAGCTGTCACAGAGGCCCAGAGTCTATTTAAACGCTGAATTCAGATGTAGATATGTACTAGTGGCTGACCATGTGGTCTGTAGTTTCTTCAGTCTCCGCTTGTATCATTTCGACGATCATCAACTGATAGATACGAGATAGTAATTGGCTTTGATGAGTTACCAATATGCACGCTGCTGTACATACGAACCCCTGGCTTTTACATTGTGCTACTTCCTTGCAAGGAAAATCAACTGCTCTGCCTGCACGAGAATTAGGCGATCCATCGCTTTCCGCATCAGAGTCAAATTGTGGGGGTACTACAAGGCGCAGTAAACACCTAGAAATAGAACATACCCAGGCACTGACATGACAGCATTTACCCAAACAAGCGCAGCTCCAGTTCCTCCGAACATCGCAGCTACCACCAGGAGCGATTTACTGCAGGCAGTGTAGTCTCGTAGACAACTAAGCTACAGATACGGAGTACTGAGACGGAGTACTCAGTAGGTAGTGCTGCGTACTACAGCCACAACTCCCACTAGAGACATCTCCCGATCTGGCCAGGCGCATCGAACCGACCTTATCAATTGGCGGCTAGTTATCCATCATCGAGATCTTCCTCCACTTGGAACAATCAAAATAAAAGACTCAAAAGTCCGAGCCTTAGTCTCGACGCACTCAGGAGCGATTAATTAATTCGGGGTTAGCGCGCCAACCCCCAGCAGGTGGCGCTGTCGGCGATACTGATAGAAACTGGAACAAATGGATACCGACTCCCGATACGGAGTATTCAGCTAAAGTAGGTCCGCGCCTCTAGGTGCTCAGCAGTCGACATTCCTACAGGTTGCATACGAACTGCTGAAACCATTTTTATGGCTGAATGTTTAGATAAGATCTTAGCTACTGATGAAACCTCAGCTCTGGGAACTTGGTCATAATGAGTCGAGATTCGTCATACAAGACACTAGCTTTTGAATTTCACGCTGTATTTCTCTACGAGGCCTGACAGTAGGCCTGACAGTAGGTCTGACAGTAGGTCTGACAGTAGCCCGAGTAGTCAAGGACCTTGAGACAAGTAGACGCAATCAGCGTGATCTTTTCGTGAGATCATCTTGACATCGTCAACTACAAAGTGTCTGCTTCTGGCAGAAGATCAAGCTATCACCGCGCTAGATTTCCTCCGCCATTCATAAGGCGGTAACAAGCGCTCTACTTGGGTGTGAGGATGGGTATGGTCAACCTTAAGCTGGTGACATTACTCGATCAGGTGATGGAGGGGTTTTGCGGATGACCTTTGCACATTCGTCCAGTGTTAATAATGTTTATCAGGTAGGAAGTCGTTTGATCAGGTTTCTGTAAACGACTATGGTGTGATGAGACTGCTTCGGTTCGCGATCTTCAAGTCCGCGCTTGTCATGTGGGGTTGATGACCGGGTGCTCTACGGATATCATGGTCAAAGGGTGTGGATCCATCTAACACCTTGAAGAAATGATGTAATGGAGATAGCCCGAGACCTCGCTCTGCTTGCCATAATGTCATTGAGCTATGCACCACCCAGAAATGTAGTCTATCTATTCGCCCACTGCCTTGTCCGTTGCGAGCCGCACAGAGCATACCAGTCTATAGGTCAACGAATACAGCCTCAGACTGAAACACTAGGTAGATATGCCAGAGCTTCAAATATTGTAAGTTTACTGGGCTACTCAGGCTCTGTCCAGGTCGGCAGCTCCAGGTCAACTACAATAGGAGGGTGGAATTTCTTCCCTCCTCGATGCGGCCATTTGCTTGCCACGATAGCGGCGTTGACGATGCACGTCTCCTTTCGTCGGAAACGCATGTCGTCACTGCGTGTATCCTTGATCAAACTCGAAAGGAGCGGGAAAGGCGCAGTTTGACTCTGTTGTGGACTGTCGGGCATCATGGATGTTGAGGCTGTGATTGAGGGCAGTAGCAGGGCATTCTGTGAGGGTGTGAATGATGCCGTCGACAAATCTGGATCCGCGTCGACAGAGTAGCCATCGTTGTCTAGACGCTCGGCCTTTTTGCCCGTTAGATCAACTAGGTTTTGCTTCTTGCTTTCTCGAGGAGGCAGGACACCTCGCATAACCTGGTGCTCGGTTTGTTCCGGTCCGGCATTGGTTGACGATGGTGAGGACCATTTGACCCTGTCGTAGCCCCGCGCCTCATGTACATGACCGCAAACGGCAAGCAGAGGTCTCACGTTGCTCAATGCCTGACGCAGGGCCTTGCACCCGACGGGCTCGCCAGTGCTCAGGCTGTCACAGTGAGAATGAGGCGGCGTGTGTGTGATGGCAATATCAGCGTCCAATGGAATCTGTCCCCAGAGCGCAGCAGCGTCGGCCGACTCGTATCCGAATGCCCAGTTCCCCGTGAACTGGGAGTAGGGCGAGCCAAAGACTTTAAATATGGTCTTGGGGCCGTCGGCCCGGGTCAAGCGGACTAGTGCTGACTGATGCTGAAGAAATACTATCGAGGGAGATCCTGCCCTTACAACTTCCATGCATTGCTCAGAGTTTTCTAGACGCTGATTATGGAAGGTCGACCCGTATTTAGCATAAAAGCTTGCGTCTAGCGTAATATCATGATTGCCTGAACAGGTCCTGCTAGTCAGTAAACACGCGTACACTACCGCGTGCTCCAAGCAGACTAACCGCAGATAACTATCTTGACCTCATAGTCGGCCTTCGAAATCCATTCGATCGTTCTGCGCAACTCAGGTAGACTGCCTTGATTCGTAAGATCTCCCGCGTGAATCAAGACATCTCCCGCTGGTAATTTGAACCCTGCGTCTGATGGCGTGTATCCGTGCGTGTCAGAGACACAAACAAAGCGCGTCTTTCGAAGCCTCATCAGTCGTCTAAAACTGTAGACAAGCCTGCTTTGTTGTCATTCGACCCTTGCAACAAGGCTACCAGAGACTGTTCAAATCTGGAGATAACGTAGCTGTAGCTCGGCTCTTTTCAACGAAACTGGGTCGTACATAACAACCGCGAACCAAATGACTCATACAAGGCTTTGAAGTGGATTTCGAGACACAAGGACTAGTTGCATAAAGCGTGTTGAGGAAGAATACTTATGATCTTTGTCCGCAATTTCGACCTGGGAAGTCGTAATATGAGCTCGACCGATCTTAGCCAACATGAAGCATTGAAACTTCTAGATCATGCCAAGAAATGTCATGGATTTGATCGGTGGCCGATCGTTGATTAAACTATTTTGAGAGAGTCAAATAGGTAGTACCAGGTGCTATGTAAGATCATAAGGCCGTCCATCTCATCCCATTGATTAAATTTGAAGTCGCGATCCAAGGCTCTAGATCCATGCCGGAATCGGCCTGCCGAGTGAAGATATTGACATCACTGGCGACAATCCACGGAGTAGATAAACCACAAGTCAATGAAAGACAACTAAATACTGCTTTTCGGTGGAACAGTCCAAGACTGGCCTATCAAGAAACAATGGCTGGAATAGACCGGAGGGGCAAAAGAGGTCGTTCACGTGATCTCGAGCCACGGGATTGGACCGGGTTAGGGCTGTGGCCCTCAAATGACCTTTCCACACAAAGCGTAGTAGCTTCGCTTAGCGATCTGACCTGCGAACCCATCCGACTTCGTTGTGTGCGTTGAACTCGACCACAACGACAACAACCGCCGACAACATACATCCCAAGGGAGTATCCTAGAGCAGTGCTCTTCCTTTCGCTGGATATTTTCCTTTTGAAACGGTGACAGAAGAGCAGGATGTCCTCCATCGAGCCAGTGGTGCGTAACCCCTTTCACCTGCAGACCGCCAAAAAGCCTCGTCGTCTTGTGTGCTTTGGAGATTTCAAGGACGGGAGACACTATGGTCTATGTTATCTACAATTACAGTGATCGCTGACTTGTGCTGGGAATTTACAGGTCGTCATTGACGGCAAGGGACACCTTCTTGGTCGCCTGGCCAGCACTGTTGCTAAGCAGCTGCTTAACGGCCAGAAGATCGTCGTTGTGAGATGTGAAGCCCTCAACATCTCCGGCGAGTTCTTCCGTGCGAAGCGTACGTTATCCGATTCGTTTTTTCATCCCCTTTGAATGCGCAAGAGCAAGATGGACCAGAGATACACCGAGACGTGGAGACATTTGGAGATGTTATGGCTGTTTGGCGCTGGTTTCGGAGCAAAGAGCTGACATGGTCACTTTCGATGATATAGTGAAGTACCACGCCTATCTTCGCAAGATGACTCGTTACAACCCCACTCGTGGTGGTCCCTTCCACTTCCGTGCTCCCTCCCGCATCTTCTACAAGGCCGTCCGCGGAATGATCCCCCACAAGACCCCCCGTGGTGCTGCTGCTCTGGAGAGACTCAAGGTCTTCGAGGGTGTTCCTCCCCCCTACGACAAGAAGAAGCGCGTCGTCGTTCCCCAGGCTCTGCGTGTCCTCAGACTCCGCCCCGGCCGCAAGTACTGCACCGTCGGTAGACTCAGCCACGAGGTTGGCTGGAAGTACCAGGACGTTGTTGCCAGGTGTGTATCCATCGCTTTGGATCATTGGTTTTTTGGTGTTACGGACATTGCTAATGGATGATTCTTTTCAGACTTGAGGAGCGGAGAAAGGTTAAGAGCAGTGCATACTACGAGCGCAAGAAGGCCGCTCGCCGCCAGCTCGTCCAGGCCCAGAAGTCGGCGAGCGTTGACGAGAAGACCAAGAGCCAGCTTGCTGAGTACGGATATTAGATACCTCGTTGCGCGGTTGGTTGCTTGTCTCAGTGATGGGTTGGGTTGGGATCGCCAGCGGTTTATCTTTCAGCGAAGTTGGACGGCAAACCGATCGACCTTTTTTCCCTTGTCCCTACCTCATCATGCATTACCACAAATGTTCATGTTGTGACGGGCATGGAGGCTACAGGAACCGATTTCATATTCAAAAGTAAAAAATACGGAGTCGCTTGGGATGAAAGGTTGTTCAAAATAGCTGACCGTTATTTCGCGCCGTCGCGGTTTAATCCAAAGTTTTCTCGAGTTAAGAATGACTCTCATGACCATTAACAATGCTCATTTCCATCCTCTTTGTGTTCCGTTGTTCATCGTTCGTTTGACTATAGGACTAGATCCATTGTATGTCGATGAGCGTAGTCTGTTAGAGGTCGGATCCCACTATGCTCTCAGGATCGACACGTCCAAGTCATCAATGACCAGCCGCGGATGTTACGGGCGTACGGAGTGCGGATCATATGGGTAGTCGGTTGTCAGGCCTAGGTGATGGGCTACCCTGAGGCCTGAATGGTTCAAGATACACGAATGATAAGCCGGGTAGACTTTGCATTACAAAGTATAAGATGTAGCCGTCTCAAGAACGATCATCGAGCTCTTATATCATCTCCTTCAAGAAATCCAGCTCCTACTTGTACTGACAATAATTGGACAAGAAGCGAGGCCTGTGGAAGAGTCACCCGCATCCCGCTTGGTAAAGGCTGCGGGTAAGCCAAATCTCCGCGGTCCAAAGCAGTCTAGCAGCCGATCATCCCCGCATTTTGTCTCCGATTCGGCTCGTTGTGAGGTGCCCCCTTGAACTGCGAATCCAAACACCTGCAATAATTATATACGCCTAGGGAGTACTTGGTTTCTTGTACATAGATTTATGAATCTGGACTCTTTCGTTTGGCTACCGCTACCAAGCCCCTAGTCATGTCATCTGTCAAGACTCGCTTGTCGAGTCTACTGGGCCACTTTGCATCCCCCGAAGCTAAGGACCCTGCTCCGCAACATCGCATCAACTACCATACGCTCTCGCCCACATTCTTCTTGCCCCGTGCTGCGGCAATTGAACCTGATGTGAGACTTTTTTTTTTCGTCTTTAGCGCTGCTTTTGTACAAAGCGACTGTTTTGGTTTCAGTGGACTAACTGGGGGAAACCATTGGCTGATAGGCTGAAGCCATCTACCATGTCACTGCAAACAATCAGGTTCTGCGGAGGACATACATAGAGACTGCAGATCGTACTAGAGGCCTTGCTTACTATCTCAAGAAGCATGGGTTCAAGCGGGTTGGCATTTTGTGTCCGAACACCCCTGCCTTCCTGGAGTCTATTTTTGGGATAGCTGCTGCTGGAGCAGTCAACATTGGTAAGGATAAAATCTTTCCCTCGTTGCCTGCGGCAGAGGTTGACGTTGACACCAATTAGCCGTTAATTACCGACTCAAGGAAGATGACATCGCCTATATCTTCACGCACTCGGATGCCGAGGTCATCATTGTGGACAAAGAATACCTACCACTGCTTCAGGCATACCGAGCGGCAAAGCCAGACATTCCCGTCATAGTCGACACGGATACGGATGCTACAGAAGGCCAACTCTCCGGTCCTTTCGATGAGGCTGTGTTACAAGGTCTCAAGTATGACGCTGACGCAGGCGCAAAGGGCTGGGATGGGCTGGAAAGCCAGGCTGCTTCCGAGGACGATGTCATTGCGCTGGCTTATACCAGTGGCACAACAGCCCGCCCCAAAGGCGTCGAGTTCTCTCACCGCGGCTGCTACCTAGCTGCCTTGGCCAACGTGATCGAGTCTGGCCTGAATTTGCGACAAGGCCGCTGCCGTTATCTATGGACTTTACCTATGTTTCATGCAATGGGTCAGTCATATGCTCTGTCCCAGCGTCGCTAACCTGTTGTCGTCCGACTAACTCTTCCAGGCTGGACATTTCCCTGGGCAGTGACCGCCGTCCGTGGCACCCATTACTGCCTGCGAAAGATCGACTATCCGGAGATTTGGAGATTGCTGAAGCAAGAGCACATCACCCATTTCAACGCGGCTCCCACGGTGAATACGTTGCTTTGTGCTGCCAAAGAGGCCGAGCGACTTCCGCGGCCAGTCCAAGTCACCGTAGCGGCCAGCCCCCCGACCCCACATCTTTTTGAGCAAATGACCAACCTGAACTTGCACCCAGTGCATGTGTACGGGATGACGGAGACATATGGGCCGATTACCAAAGGGTACTACATGCCTCAATGGGATCAACTGCCGGCGCAAGAGAAATACAAGAAGATGGCAAGACAAGGACATGGCTTCTTGACTAGTTTGCCCGTTCGAGTCATCAAGACGGATGTTCCAGAAGGAACCATTATTGACGTCCAGCGGGACGGCAAAGAGATAGGAGAGATCGCCTTTGTTGGCAACATCTGCTCCCGGGGCTACTACAAAGACATCGAGGCCACACGGAAGCTCTTCGCTGGGGGCGTCTTGCACTCCGGAGATCTGGCGGTTTGGCACCCAGACGGAGCCGTCCAAATCTTGGATCGAGCAAAGGACATCATCATCAGCGGTAGGCAATATCTGTCCTCGGTTGTGGCTCATTCAACGCAATGCTGACCAAGGCCGAACAGGAGGCGAGAACATATCATCCGTCGCTCTCGAGTCGATGCTCGTTACCCATCCCGACATCCTCGAAGCCGGTGTGGTGGCGGTCCCAGACGCACATTGGGGGGAGCGACCCAAGGCATTTGTGACTGTGAAGCAGGGAAAGCAGGTCGATGGAAAAGAAGTGATCGCGTGGGCCAAAAATCACAGTGCGATCAGCAAGTTCATGGTCCCTCGGGAGGTGGAAGTGGTGGCGGAGCTTCCCAAGACGAGTACTGGGAAGGTGAGGAAGAATGTCCTTCGAGAATGGGCAAAAGGGGGGAGTCGAACATGACCAGTGTCGGCAAAGGGAGGATCTCGTTGAGAATACGAGATTTGAGTGCTGTTGAGGGTATCCCTGGGTCTGCCCCTTTCTGGTGGCAGACACTAAATCGAGACATTTTTCCCACTATCGACACTAATCTTCTATGGGACCCACGGTGCCAAGCCTATGATGGCATGCGATGATGCGAACTTGCAAGATGCAGCCCAAGTATCTACACTCGATAGTGAGAGGAAGTATGGAGTAGCGAAGAGGAATATCATGGTTGATGGGGATGTCTAGAAGATTGCTTCCAATAAAGCCAGTCGCTTCATGTTGCCATCGCCGATGAAGACTGGGGCTTGCGGTGATCACTTTATTCTCAGCGATATATTTTTGGATCCAGATTTGATACCTGTCAATCCCAAGGACCTTGTGTATAACTGTAGATATATATCAAGGGAGCGACTGTGAAGGCCACCATCTAAATGCTATTTCCTTCCAGCCAATCGGTGCGCAAAACAAGCGTTACGGCTGTATATTCACTTTGATCCTTCCTTATGTACATGACTCTATTGCCTTGCACATCTTGAAATCCTCGAATTTCAGCTATATTGCAGGTCAGAATCTAAGGTACGAAGAAAGTCACCAAGACAAAGAACGTCGATCCTACCGTGATGTCCAGCGGCGGGACTGGACCATCGTTCTTATTTGCCTCCCAATCATCCATCACTTTGGCAGCCGCCGCCGACCCTGTGCTGACTGACTCTCTCTCGTCTTCTAGCCGCCTGATCGAACAGCTCTTTGGGTTCCATGATAGATCCCACCCTCCATACCTACTGTTTTCTGTCTGGATGATGCTGCGCTAAGCATAAACTCTCGATAACTCCATCACGTCTTTTCCTCTCCGATCGAGCGTTTGTCGTTTCCTTGGTCAATAATCCGCCCGCCCCAAACCTCCATTCTCCGCTCGTCAGCCCCTCCCTTACCTTCCGGATTATTGTGCAACTGCTGCAGGCACGCTCGGACGCGCGTTCCTATTGATACCTATCTTCTTCTATTCCCTGTTTCTCGTCCCTTTTTCCTAAACGCTGCGACGGGATTCATCGGCCGGGTTGGACGGCGCCGTGCTTTTGCTCTCGTTTCCCTTTTCAGCTTGCTTACAGGGTCTGCTGGTGTCAAGGGATACCGAACGAGAGTCTCCCGCCTTCGAGCTACGGATTTGTGCTGACAGCGGTATCCTTCTCATGTCAAAGCACTCATGAATAGCGTATCTCATGCTGTTGGAGAACGTTGATCAGACAACCCTTATCACAAGACCTAGGCTTCACACCCGCAATCCAGAATGCCCCGCTCACGGCAACCACTTCGCTTCTCGAGCGAAGTTCCCTCCGAGTCCTCGTCATCCACCTCTCCCGACCGCACCGTCGATGATGATACCGACTTCTTCATGGCCCAGGCCAACGATTCGCAGTCTTCCGTCGGGGTGGGGAACTTCCGCGAGCCTCGCGAGCAGAATCCAAGAAACACAGTAATTCCGCCGATCGGACGTCTACCGCCGGAGCTCCTTATCTCGATCTTCGCGAAGCTCAGTTCAACTGCGGATCTGCTGAGTTGCATGCTGGTATGCCGAGGGTGGGCTGCCAACTGCGTCGGGATACTGTGGCATCGGCCGTCGTGCAATAACTGGGATAACTTGAAGAGCGTAACGGCGTCCGTGGGAAAGCCGGATAGTCTTTTCGCATACTCGGAGCTCATCAAACGACTCAATCTTTCCGCGTTGACGGAAGATGTCAGCGACGGCACCGTCGTCCCCTTTGCTCAGTGCAAGCGTATTGAGCGGTTGACCTTGACGAATTGTTCGAAGCTCACGGACAAGGGTGTCTCGGACCTGGTGGAAGGCAACCGGCATCTGCAGGCTCTGGATGTCTCAGATCTACGATACCTTACGGACCATACTCTATATACTGTTGCCAGGAACTGCCCTAGGCTTCAAGGACTCAACATCACTGGGTGTATCAAAGTGACCGACGACTCACTTGTCGTCATCTCGCAGAACTGCCGACAGATCAAAAGAGTGAGCTTTAAACTGTTTCTGATCGATTTAGATTGCCTATGCTAACAAGTACTTCCAGCTGAAACTTAACGGAGTCTTACAAGTAACGGATCGGTCAATCCTATCCTTTGCCGAAAACTGTCCGGCTATCCTTGAAATCGACCTGCACGACTGCAAACTTGTCACAAACCCCTCGGTGACCTCGCTCATGGCCACACTTCGGAACCTTCGTGAACTGCGGCTGGCCCACTGCGTCGAGATCAGTGATGCGGCATTTCTAAATCTTCCCGAGTCCCTCTCGTTTGATAGTCTCCGCATCCTGGACCTGACCGCATGTGAGAACGTCAGAGATGATGCTGTCGAGCGCATCGTCAGCGCTGCGCCTCGCTTGCGGAACCTGGTCTTGGCCAAGTGTAGGTTCATTACGGACCGCGCGGTGCAGGCCATCTGCAAGCTCGGAAAGAATCTCCACTACGTTCATCTGGGCCACTGCTCCAATATCACCGATCCTGCGGTAATACAGCTGGTGAAGTCTTGCAACCGGATCAGATACATCGACTTGGCTTGCTGCAACCGTTTAACGGATAACAGCGTTCAGCAGCTGGCGACTCTACCTAAACTTCGACGAATCGGCTTGGTCAAGTGTCAGTTGATTACAGATCAAAGTATTCTGGCTCTGGCACGGCCCAAGGTGTCCCCTGATCCTCTCGGTACTAGTAGCTTGGAGCGAGTGCATCTCAGTTACTGCGTCAACCTGTCAATGCCGGTAAGTCATCTGACATCAGTTCAAGTTTCTGCCAGTACTGATTTGGATGTCTAGGGAATACATGCTCTGCTCAATAATTGCCCTCGGCTCACACATCTCAGTCTCACTGGCGTACAGGCTTTCTTGGTTCCGGAAGTCACCCGCTTCTGCCGCGAAGCACCTCCGGAGTTTACCCAACAACAGCGAGAAGTGTTTTGTGTGTTTAGCGGTGAAGGCGTCAATCGACTTCGGGACTACTTGAACCACAGTCCTGGCTCCACCCGCGAAATGACGGAAGCTACCATGTACGACGATGACGAAGAGTTGGACGAGGACGAAGGTCAAGTGACTGGCCTGATGCATGCGACAGTCATAAACGACGAAGACTACATCGATATCGGACATGCTCACGGTTGATACCCCCTCTGCTATTCCTTCGAGCGTGTTGTTTTCCGTGGCGCCTTTTGTGTTTCTCTGCCTTTCTTACCTTTCATCTTTCGCATGACGTTGCGTCAATTTTGGCATTATCATTCAGGGAATCATGGCTAAAGAGCGGGCGTCCCTATCATTTCCACCTCATACGTACAAACTAGGACCGTCAGATTTCATCATCGTCTGGAATTGCATCAATAGCGGTTGATACAACCTGGGATTCGGGTTATTTATGTTTGTTTTACTTGGGTTAGGCATATATATGGCTTTCATGTCTCCTCTAAATTCACGGAGCTGTCAATCTTCGATTGTCAGTTGCTTTGGAGTAGACCACCGTCACAGTGTGACTTATGTCATGGAGTGGAGACTCTGAAACGTACTTTTCTACACTGTGTCTTAATCGCATCAATACATCAAATTGCTCTAGATATTTCACTGCTTTATTGAACTTATTTTCTCATTATTGTGCCACATCATTCAGGTTGATGAGATTTTGGTTTGCCCTGCTGCCCATCTACATAGTACGGGCTCTACGGAGTATTGCATACCGCTTCCCCGCTCTCCGCTCTTCGAGCGCGTTCACCTCAACTCCGATCATTCCTAGCTGCGCCTGGGTTCCGAATCCCAGTCGCAGCGTGACAGTTGAGCAGAAGCGACTGGTTTTGTTCAGATCAGTGTATCCGATGGCCCGTCCTTCGCTTTCACGATCCAATCCCCTCGGATTCACACCATGGCCCGTCACCGTTATCACGGCGGTCGTGTACCTTGCGCTAGTGGTGCCTTTACTTGTCGTCCATCATGTCGTGCCTTCGGCTCCTGGCTCGAACCCGAATGGACTGAATCTCACCGAAGCCTGGGCTGATCTGCAGGTGCTCACGAACGGGTTCCACCCGTACAACTCCCACCGCAACGATGAGGTGCACGAGTGGCTTCTGAAACGAATCCATGAGCTTATCGACAGCGCACCACCCGCGAGCGAGTATGAATCGGTCGACGAGGAGAAGCCAGACGTCTTTGTCTTTGACGATACGCAGTCGAACCTCACTTTCTCCGGCCGCGGGTCGGGCCTCGGGGTGTATTTCGAAAGCACCAATATCATGGTGTATATCCGGGGTTGGGAAGAGGACCGGGAGCGCTGGTGGGAAGACCCGCACGGCCGGCCGGCGGGCAAGGGCGGCGTTCTGGTGAACGCACACTACGACAGCGTGTCGACGGGATACGGGGCCACCGATGACGGGGTAGGCGTTGTCTCGTGCCTCCAGCTGATCAAGTACTTCACCACGCCTGGGCATGTCCCGCGCCGCGGGCTGGTGGTGCTCTTCAACAACGGAGAGGAGGATTTCCTGAACGGCGCGCGCGTGTACAGCCAGCACCCCATCTCGCAGCTGCCGCATACGTTTCTGAACCTGGAGGGTGCGGGTGCGGGCGGGCGGGCGACGCTGTTCCGGAGCTCGGACGCGGAGGTCACGAAGCCGTACATGCGGGCCCTGCATCCGTTTGGATCAGTGTTGAGCGCGAACGGGTTCGAGGCGGGCCTCATCAGCAGCCAGACGGACTATGTGGTCTTTGAAGGGGACCTAGGCCTGCGCGGCCTAGACGTCGCGTTCATGGAGCCCCGCGCTCGGTACCATACGGACCAGGACGATGCGCGGCATACGAGCTTGAATTCCGTGTGGCATATGCTGTCGGCCGCGGTGGCCACGACGGAGGGGCTAGTCTCGGACGCCAGCGGCCGGTTTGAAGGGCTGCCGCGCGAGGATGGTCGGATTGCCAGTGGATCTGGGCCGAGAGGTGTGTGGTTCGATCTGTTCGGGAGCACCTTTGTCGTCTTCGAGCTGCACACGCTGTTTGCGCTGTCGGTGACGCTGCTGATCGTGGCGCCGCTCGTTCTGCTGGTGACGAGCATCGCGCTGACTCGCGCGGACAAGATGTACCTGTTCCGGTCGTCGGCGTCCCCGGAGGACAGCGACGGCAGCGAGAAGGTGCCCTTGCAGGGGGTTCGGGGCTTCTTCCGATTTCCCTTTCTGCTGGTGATCCCCACGGGGTTGACGGTGGGTCTGGCGTATCTGGTGACCAAGTTCAACCCGTACATCATCCACAGCAGCGAGTATGCCGTCTGGAGCATGATGGTATCCGCCTGGGTGTTCCTGGCGTGGTTCGTCTCGCGCGTAGCGGACTTTGCGCGGCCGTCGGCGTTTCATCGCGTGTACACGCTGACCTGGCTGTTTCTCGTGGAGTGGGTGTTGCTGGTCATTGCCACGGTCTACGAGAACAAGTACGGTCTGGCCGGGGGCTATTTTGTGTTTTTTGCATTTGCGGGCACGTTCCTTGCGACGTGGATTTCGTATCTGGAGCTGTTTGCTCTACCACGCAAGTCCGAGTACGCGACTCAGCTTGCACTGCCCTCTCGGCGGGCCAGTAGCCACGGCAGCCGGCTGGGCACGGCCTCTGGCGAGGATGTTGAAGAAGGCGAGGACGAGGATGACGACGGCATCGCGGCGGAGGCCACAGAGACGACCTCATTGCTGCGCGGACAACGCACCACCTTTGCCAACTACGTCCGGGTGACGGGCGACTATCTACGCGACGACGACGACGAGCCGCGCCAGCCCAACCTGTACGGCCACGAGCAGGCCTGGAGCGTCCACCTGCCCAAATGGATTTGGGTGCTGCAGTTTCTGTTGACCGCGCCGCTTGTTCTGATTTTCGTGGGACCTCTCGCGCTGCTGCTTACGTCCGCCCTGCGCCAGACCGGCCAGGATGGCAGCTCCTCGCTCTTGATCTACATTGCCATCGCCGCGCTCACGACCCTGCTCTTCATGCCGCTTCTCCCGTTTATCCACCGATACACGCACCACATCCCGCTTTTCCTGCTGTTGGTGTTCGCCGGCACCCTGATCTACAATCTCGTTGCCTTCCCCTTCTCCCCCGCGAACCGGCTCAAGCTTTTCTTCATCCAGGAGGTGGACCTCGACACGGGCGTCAACCACGCCTCCCTAAGCGGCGCATACCCCTTGGTCCACGACGTCGCCAGCTCCCTCCCCAGCGCCGCCGGCCAAAACATCACATGCGATCTGGATCTGCTCCGACCCAAGTGTTCCTGGCATGGGATTCCGCCGCAGGTAGTCCAGTTTCAGTCTGAAGCATCAAAGATGAAAGACTGGCTCTCGTACAACATCACCCAATCCGACCACGAGCCAAAAGCCCAGTTCAACATTTCCGGCCGCAACACCCGCGCCTGCAAACTCGTTTTCGACAGACCCGTTGTGGAATTCACGGTCGCGGACTCGGCGTATGATCCGCGCTTCCCGCATGTTTCTCCGGACGGCACGAAGGAGATCCGGCTCTGGAGTCGCGAGTGGGGACATACCTGGACTGTGGATGTGGAGTGGTCTGAGACCGACGGAACCGATGAAAAAGGGCTCGGGCTGAGTGGGAGGGTAATCTGTCTCTGGAGCGATGGGAATACGGCGGGAGTGATTCCGGCGCTGGACGAGGTGAGACGGTATGTTCCTGTCTGGGTGGGGGTGAGTAAATTGTCCGACGGGCTTGTGGAGGGGAGTCGACGTTTCCAGATATGAATGCGGAGTGAGCGAGCATGTCTTAAGATTTGTGATTGCATCTATATCTACTCGGTATCTATCTGCTATGATTATGATTGCGTTGTATTGACTATTGACTTGACGCTGGTTGTAATTGTGCATGATTTGTAGATCAAGTAAGTATTATATTCAGTATGTTATGTACAGTATATGCCAGAAGCTGAGCTGCCCTTGAGTCTGGCTACGTCAGAGTCCACAGTGGACTGTGGACTGTATTTCAGGGGTGATATGGATCTGATTCCAGGGTCGGGATGACGTTGTATCCAGGAACCATGGAACGGACCCTGTAATTATGGAGAACATCAAGTATCCATGACATGAATTGTTGAATTCCTCCGTATCATTCGATACAATCAACCGGAAATAGTTGAGATGAATAATCGATATGATATGATATGAATGACGTGACTCGTGACTCATTATTCGTTTGTTGAAGGGTGGAGAGGGCCAGATCAACCCGGTTTATCGGGCGCCGGCCCACCGATGCTATTATGCTGTTTATGCAGCGAACCCGTGAAATCGAGCGGACTCACGTCGCGCTGGGTCTCGCCGCTCCAGGACTGCGAGATCTCGGAGTGGCCGGTCCCCTGGTCGGGAAGCGAGGGGGGTGCGTTCTCCGAGTGCTCGAACATGGCGATGGAGATGTCGTCCGAGTCCATCCATGGGTGGGAGCGGCGGCGGGCAGCTGGGGAGGCGGATGCGGGGGGTTTAGCGTGCGTGAGGTCGGATGTGACGCGGGTTGCGTCGACAAAGTCGGGGTACTGGTATTCGGGGTGGGAGTAGCTGGTGGTGTGGTGATGGTGGTGGTGGAGGTGGCAGTTGTCGGTGCCGATCGGGTCCGATTTCCAGACGTGGTTGTGGACGAGGTAGACGAGTTTGCCGAGGACGGCGAACTCGAGCTTGAGCTTGATGCTGTAGATGACGCCTTTGAGCATGGTCTCCATGATGTACTTGTTCATGTACTCGACGACGAGCAGGCCGATGTCCATGACGATGATGATGAGGTTGATGGCGACGAGCTGGTATATGATCTTGCGCTTGCCGCGGTCCGGGTCGAGGCGCAGCATGCGGATGGTTTCCCAGATGTAGAGGGCCGAGATGATGAGTTCCTGCAGACAGAAGCCGGTCATCTGGATCTTTTCCATCACGTTGTAGCCGCGGATGTAGGCCGGGGCGGCGGCGGGACCGGCCATGTTGGAGCCGTAGGTCAGCACGGTGGTGGGGACATGGAAGATGACGGCATCGACGAGGATCATGGTGAGGACGCGGCGCAGGATGCGTGGGTTGCGCAGGACCAGGTGCAGGCGCGAGTAGAGGACGATGGACTGGCCGGTGACCATGCACCACCAGCCGACGGTGATGAAGGTGACGGACAGCCAGGTCTGGTCGGTCAACTGGAAGAACTTGAGGAGAAAGCCGGTCGAGTAGGGGAGGAGCCCAATGGACGAGGCAATGAGCAAGCTCCAGAAGTAGGTGCCATGGTACTTGCTAAAGGTGACGAAGACGAGGATAATGAGCTCGATGGCATTGTACCAGGTGATTCCCGCCAGAGTCGCCATGGTGATTTTCATCGCCAGGCTATCGCCTGTATATCCCCCGGTGATGCCATCTCCAGGAGCTTGTGTCCCATTGGGCATGCTGTAGATCTAGGTAAGAGGGGTACGAGGCATGCTGTGTTGTGTTGAAGTTGTTGACTTGTTGCAACTGTGATTGAAGCCAAGAGTAGAAGGGGAAGAGGGAGGTACTGGGAGAGTAAATGATATTAGAGCAGTCAGGTGAGGAAGAGTCAATATGAATCTAATAAGAAAGTATTAGTAGTGCTTCGTAAGTCGTAACAGAACAGCATCATTTTTATTAGTGGAAGTATTTGGACGTGGGGAGAAACCGGGGCTGTACGCACACCGTATGTATTATTAGTGCTGTCACGGTGATTTATTATCATTGCTACCTTATTCCCCATCAGCACTACTTTATGATTAAGAAGAATGAGACCAATAAGAAATGATGGAATGATATATCTATAGACCGATATACGCCGAAGCACGATAATATGACTGGTCAAGTCGGTTACTCTTTGGCTTCAAGATCCGTGGATATTCTCGTCCCCACAACTGTCAATAGTTCCATAGCCAAAATCAGATGATCCGATCGACCGAGGAAGAAAGAAACTAACTACGTGACGACTCAGCTTACAGCTTGAGCAGCGTTACTCAGCCTAAGGGCAGATTTCCAATCCAGCGTTGTTGGCCAAGTTGGTTGATTCGAACGATCGGGCAATAAAACACGCAGGACATCTTCAACGAGATTTGGACATAATAGACTCTAGACTTTGGCTTCACCGCAAGCGATTGTGATAGTGTCGTGTGTACTTGACAGCATACTCCCGCTTGGGTATAGACGACGTCGATCCGTGATTCATTAATTATTACTTGCCATTGCCAAGTCACTAACCTGAGCTGGATTTCTCCACGAAGACCCTGGCCGTGTCTCTGATCAGTCGGTCCAGTTTAGGATTGATTCTCGTACTCATCCTCCGGAATATCTCCGTACCTCGACTGGTTCACTTCAGCAGTCGGTCAATGATATAGGACGGGAATTGCGACTGATCGTTGCTGGCAAGTGGACCTCTCAAGCTAGGCAGTCCTCGTGGGTCATCGCAAAGGACACGGAAATGACCGTGCGAGCCATGACTTCATCTACGTGACTACGTGACTACTACCTTCTTCCTGGTCAAACTATGCATCGACCAGTCGAAACCACCCAACTTCCCGGCTTCATCTCGTTGGAAGAGTCTTCCTGGGAATCATGCGGTGTGCTTGTACCCCAGCCCGTTGGTCAGATACTGCATGCGCGGTAGGTGTCTTCTGACAAGCATTTCTACTTCTCTACCTCTTCTCTACCAACAACAGTAGAGATTATTGATTCACTCCATACTACATACTCTACCCAGAGTATAAGGCTGACTGATTGACATCATCGGCTCAGCGTTTGTATCGTTTCCTTAACTCCCCGAGGACACAAAGTCTAAGTTACACGGCGAGGCCTCGAATAATATTATGGGATGTTCTCCAGATCATATCATATCCCTTGCTCCAGTCATGCTGAGCCAAACAGAAACATTCTCGATTTCAATCTCAATCTATTGCAAAGTTAATGACCAGCACGTGTCGGCGCAAGGAGACTTCATAATTGAATGGAATGCTACGTCTCCTTGCTCGACTGCCTTATCTTCACTTGGCAGTTGGCACAGACAGTAACGGTAACCTCTGCGAGGATCGCCGAATCCTTCGCCTGTCTTAGTTCCTGCTACTACTGGCATGAGAATGCCGGAGATCCAAACTGTCGGAGTTTTGTTTCCCATTAAACAAATGGGATATACGAAGCACATACTCCGTAGATAGTTTACATTACCCCTGAGTCCTGACTGAGGCATGCCCAAAGTCCAACCTAAACAAAATCAATCGCTCCTAACGCCTTGCCATGCCCATATCCCTGTCGCAATACACGTTCAAACTCCGTAATCCAACCCAACCAGAAGCCAAACAAAGAAACAACCCCTTTACTTTACTACTCAGTGTCAGCCTTGAGACTCTCCCCCAGTAGCAGCAAGCACCCTCTCCACCTCCCCCCTACACTCGGGCATCGCACTCCTCATCTCCCTAGCAAGCACATCCCGGAACCTCGCAAACGCCCCCTTCTTCCCCTTCAGATCCTGGTTCCCGCGCTGCACCAGCTCCACGAACTCCCGCGTGTAGATGTCCGGGTTGCGCGCCGCGTCGACATAGTCGATAATCTCGGGGGGCAGTTGGATGTCGCGAAGGAGGGGGTCGTCTGTTCTTGTTTCGGGGGTGGCTATTTCGTTTTCCTTTTGCTCTTCGTCCTGTTCCTGTTCCTGTTCCTGCTCCTGGGGCTGGGGTTTGGTGTGTGTGGAGAGCGTGGAGAGCGCGAGGGTGAGGTTTTTGCTGTTGCATGCATCGCGTCAGCTTCGGATTATAGTATCCATGGAGAGGTGAGGTGATGGGGGTGTACATTTTCCTGACGAGCTCGGTCTGGGTCTCTGGGCCTAGGTAGCCGTGGACGGCGGATTGGATCTCGAAGAGGTGTTGGATTACCTCTTTGAGGTCGTCTGTTGTTTGGTCAGAGATGATGACTTGTATAAGGGGTGTAGCGTACCATCCAGGGTGCTTAACGTGATTGGAGCCATTTTGCTGTATATTGTGGTTAAGATGGACATGGATTTATTTGACTTACCTGTGCCTCTGTAGACTAAAGGCAGCAGGCGGAGAGCTACTGCGGGGTGGCACTAACCCTTTGTGGTAATTCTATCTACCACTGCTTCAATGGAGAAATCAAGGACGAGGGACGAGCACTTTGCTTCGATATGTTCATCTAATTCAATATGTATATATGATATTAATTAGGCCAAAATGCAAGGCCAAGTCTACGCGCACAATTATACCTCCTTGGTCCTCAGACCAGCAAACTTCGGTATCTCAATCTCCGTTTCGACCATCTCCAGTCCAGACAGACTGGGAAACCGTCGGCTGAAGCTGGCCTCCCAGTCTTCGCCCGGGCTGCTCGGTGTCGCCTGCGCCGTCGGGCTGCGCTCCTCGCCCGAGGACCGACCCATGTCCGGCCCACCCACACGAAGCCCTTTCGGCTTGGGAGGCGCCATCGGCCGCGATCCCGTGCGTGCTGTCTCCTGCCTGGAAGCGCTCGCCGGTCTTCCAGACTGCTGTTCTTGAGCCGAGTACGTGGCCCCACCCCCTGTGCCTGGCCGCGACACCGGTCGGCCCTCCGTCTGCTTCGCCTGCAAAGCAGCAGCACCTGACTCGTCTGTGTACCGCCCATAGCCCGTCGCCGTTTTCTGAGGCGGAGGCTTGTTGCTCTGCCCGAGCAGTGTCTGCACCCTGTTCTTAATCGCCGACGATCTGGGCCCGTCGGTTCCCACCACTCGGGCCCCTCCCTCTCCTTGTTCCGCAACCCGGCGCCGGTACTCGGCCGCTGCCGCCGCCACTCGCTTCTCCTCCTGCGAAAGCCGCCGGCGCTCGAGCTCGCGCCGCATCTCCGGGGATATATCCTCGTTGCTCTCATCGCCACTCCAATCTGCCGCATAGTCGGGCACTTCCGATGTTGTCACAGAGGGCAATGGCTTCGCTGCTTCCTCTGCGGTGGAAGACGGCGATTTGTCCGGATTGCTCTGCTCGAAGCGGCGGAAAGCGTCGCCGAACCGACCGGCAAATAACGTCTTGGTGCCCGAAAGGGACAGCGTGGAAAGACTCGTGCGCTTACTGTGCTTGTGGCTGCCACTGTATCGCTTCTCACGCTTCCGGTTGAGTTCCTCTTCTCTGGCGCGCAAGAAGTCCACATCCGACGAGATATTGGCCCGTTCGGACATGTCTATGTCCGTGCGTGCGTGCTGCAGCGGCGCGCCGCCTTCATACATCGGTCTGCTCAAGTCCAGAGACGACCGAGCGCTCTCGGATCCCCGCGAGAACTCGAGCCTGGATCCGGTATGGACAGAGACCGGGCGCGCCTTGCCGTTGGCCGACTTGGACCGGCCCACCGGACCATCGACGTCCAGATTCGGTCGCACCCCGTCCAACGAGGGCCGTGACGATGCAGATGACAGCGAGGACAACTTGTCGAAGGAGGTCTTGGGGTGTGGCTCCGGTTTCGTCGATGAAGTTGGAGGCGAGGGCGCCTTGTTGGGTCTCACAGACTTCTGATCCGCCTCAGCCAACCAAGACGGATTGGACGGCTGGCGGTGATGATCGGACGAAGGAAACCTGTAAATATTACGGCTGGATGGTTTCGTCTCTGCAACCCCTGGCGTGGGTGGAGACGAGGTCATTGTCCCGGTCGACACCATGGTGGGTCGCTGGGGAACAGGTTGGTACAATGGAGCCTGCTGCGACGGTTGCTCTTGAACATGTCGCGGCGGCTCGACAGGCTTTGTTTCCACTGAAGACGTCTGAGGTGGGTTGATCGATCGTTCTCCATTCTGCGGCGAGGGCCGCTTCGCAAAGGCGTCGTCCGCAAGAGCATTCGTGAGTCTCCGCGCAAGATCTTCGTCCTCCGACTTCTTCTCTGTGACGGTCGGCTCAAAGTCGAACTTGTCCTTTTCCTCATTCAAAATCTGGAACTGATCAAGCGACGGGAAGCGAGTCGAAAACTCCTCGATGGAGTTTCGCGACTTGTGGCCGCTGCCGTCCAGAGCAGCAAAGGGGTCTGTGGAAGAACCACCGCGAAAGGGAGACGGACTTGGTTTCGCCGAGTTGTGCTGAGAATGATCCGGTCTGGTCGGACGTCCTCGACGCATCGGCGCGATTTCGGGAATAATTTGGGTTTCCTGGACAGGCGGGGAGAACACCGCTCCCACTTGAGGTGCTTCCACCGGGGAGGGGGGAAGTTCCTGATAACGACGAGCTTCCGAAACAGAGCGACTGGCATATATCTAGGGTAGAAAAGACGTGAGATTTCTGAACTCGTTTTTGGGCGGTAGAGCAGACCGCTTACATCGCGAATAGGAACTTCCTTTCCTTGCATGCTGCATACTTCGCGCACTACCTCATAGATAGTAGGGCGCTTCTGGGGATTCTCCTTCAGCATCCACGCTAGTCGCTGTCAGTATTTCGCTCGTGATCAAACACACATGGCAACTCACCGATGAGCGCTTTCAGACGATCCGAGAATGGAGGATATGAATGGAACTTGTAGCTCGCATTCAGAATGGCCATTTGGCCGACCTCTTCGAACGGCGTAGTGTAATAGCACAGCTTGTATAACAGAACTCCTAGCGCCCAGATATCACTCTTCTCGTCGATCGGCTGTTTGCGGTAGACATCAATCATCTCGGGGCTTCGGTACTGCAGCGTCGTGTGTCGTTGAACATCATCCTCAATCAAACGACCCTCAGCAGCCGAAGTCGCAGCCGGGCGAGGTGGAGCCGTAGAACCAAAGTCGCAGAGTTTATAGAGAGGGGTTTTCCCCTGGAAGGAGATGAGGACGTTCTCGACCTTGAGATCGCGGTGCAGCAAAGGGGGCTTGAGATAGTGCATGCAGGCCACTCCCTCCGCCACATCCGAAAAGATCTTGATGATTTCCGGCTCTGTCAGCCGGTTCTGCAACCGTGTGTTCATAAAATCAATCAGGCCTCCCCCGGAGCAGAACTCCATGAGCAAAAACACCTCGTACCCACCCCCTCTCAGCTGGGACGCATGGGAATCGATGTATTTGACGATATGTCGGTGACCTTTCAGTTTCTTCATCGTCTCGACCTCCGTCCGCATATTCGCCAATGCAGCCTTATCGGGGACAGCAACCCGCTTCAAGACTGCTCGATCGGAGCCATCGACGGGCTGGGAAAGTCGCACGACGTAGACATGGGCAAAACCACCCTCAGAGAGGTATTTCTCAACCACAACTCGATGGCTTCCGACCTGAACCTTGGTCCCCGGTAGGAAGGTGCCTGCTGGAGCAGTGACAGCCGCAACCGGGTTGAAGGTCTGTATAGGCAGGGGAGGAGCGGCGTGAGACTGGTAGGTTTGGGTAGGGGGTTGGTAGGAGGACATGATGGACTGTGAGCCCTCGGAAGGGCGAGTGTCGATACGGCCAAACTGCGTAACCTATCGTCGCTGCATAGAGGAGGAGAGGAGGAGGCAATGAGAGAAATAGATCTTGGTTCAGCGTGGAAGCAGACCAATCTACAATGAGGACAGTTGGCGGGGAGGCGGAGAAGAGATGTGAGGCGGTACCTGACTGCCCCCACTGGGAAAAGGGCAGGGATTCGATAGGTGTAGGATAGTCAAAAAAAGATGGAGATGCTGACAAGCAAATCTTGGTCCAAGTGAACCTCGACTGACCAGCAGCAGCAGTGCCAGTGAATAACTAACAGTACTCCGTAGTAAACTACAGCCCTCCGTAGGTAGGCAGCGGTGATGATGGTGGAGGATGAATCTAACCGTTTTAAGAGGTTCGTTGGCAGGCGGCTCCCATTTCCCCGACCGCCACTACTCATCACTATCTACTGTGTCATATCTCTGAATCATCTCCCTACGTGTTTCCAGTTGCAAGATTTTCGTCTATCATATGAATTGAAGAGCCCTTGTAGTAATTGGATGTACTGACTGTGTCTCGCAATCCTCATGATCATCAGGCACCATCGCCAGCTGATCATGGGATTCGCCGGCCATCCTCCGACCGACCCCGATGATGCTAACTTGACCTCGAACATAGTCCACGTTCCTCGATTGATCGATGGCAGAGGATATCTACCTACTGGGGACCCCAATGGCATGCCATATTCTCGAGATCACTTGCTCAATGCTCCGCTGTTTATATGCTTCGAGTGACAGTCGAAGGGTCAATCTTTTGCTTTGAAACGCGTTTAAAAGCAGCATAGGGCCTCCAGCAGAACATACACAGATAACTATGCTTGGAGATCTTGTTAGTGCCATGGAAATTCCCAACAAAACCCGGTCCAGAGGGGATTGCTTAGGATACGGAAACTCAGCATCAAGAAGGGACAGATTCTCTGCCCGTGCATGCAGGCATAAGATTATGTAAGGTATCTTTGTACAGGAATCTATGCAGATATCTCCAACCAATCAACAACCAGTAATGGAAGATGAACCATCGCCAAATGGAGGAATTTCAAAACAAACAAAGCCGTAGCACCGTCACTGACGACTGCCAAAGAATGCGCCAATCGTCAGAGCCAGCACATTCTTCGGAGATGTCCTGGTTAAGCTTGATTGTAAAAGCTATTATATCAGAGACATGGGAATTCTTTCATGAGTTTATTCAAAGTTGAATCTCGATCGAGAAATGCATGAATGGCGTAGTGGTACACTAATGGAGCGGTTACTTGGTCATGGTGTCCTGGTTCCATCTAGAATCTTAGACTGTGCGCCGACGAAGAGGTCTATTCTTGTTCAGGTTCAATAACTTGAAGCATCCCTATCTCATTCTTAGCTTCTTGGTGTGTGCAGAGAAATCAATCAGGGGCGATTCGGTACTATTTTGCTTCGAATGGGTTGAAAATCGTCAGATCTATATATCGCAAGAGTCATACATAGAAGCACTCCCCAGGAACATCCAAGTCTCAACAAATATCTGTCAATTATAAACATAAGATAACCATTCTTCCCTGTTTCACGAGTCTCAACGGTCCTTCGAGTTTGACGAATTAATCGGCAATAA